GGAGCGTGGGATTTTTCCGGAGGAGTCGCTCCGAGAGGAGCCGGAAGGCAGCTCTGTCGCACAGGGATGCGGGTGACAGCGCCCTGTATGTGCCCCCCCGCGAGCTGCGTGGGCTCTCCCCGGCGGGACTCCACACCTCTGAGGCGGGATGTTCCACGCTGGAGCGGAGGGGGGAGAGGGGGCGGCGGCACGCAGGTAACCGGGGCCGCAGTGGCGGGGCTGCCGCAGCCGCCGCTCCCAGTCGGGCAGGTCTGAACCCGCTGGATGGTCCCTCTGCTCCCTTCGTGGCCCCCGGAGCGGAGGCGGCACCGCGATCCACACACAACTCCCCGGCACTTGGTACGGCCCAGCGCGGGGCACGGCGGGGCCGCGGCGCCGGCGCGGCGGGAGCGCAGCAGGATGTGGGGTGTTTGTTGGATGTTCAGCGCCGGGACGGAAGCGAAGGAGGAAAACTCGTTTTACCCAGGTACCGACGGGGCTCATCCCCACAGCGTGGGCAGCAGGCGAGGGAGGGTTTCTCCCCCTCTGCTCTGGGGAGATCCCACCTGCAGTGCTACCTCCAGCTCCGGGATCCTGGACACGAGAAGGTCGTGGAGCTGCTGGAGTGAGTCCAGAGGAGGATCGTGAAGATGCTTCGAGGGCTGGAGCCCCTCTGCTCTGGAGACAGGTTGGGAGAGCTGGGGATGTTCAGCCTGGAGAAGAGAAGGCTCCAGGGAGACCTGAGAGCCCTTTCAAGTGCCTAAAGGGGCTCCAAAAGAGCTGGAGAGGGACTTTGGACAAGGGATGGAGTGACAGGACACACAGTAATGGCTTTAAACTGAAAAAGAGTTAAGATTAGATATTAGGAAAAGATTCTACCCTGTGAGGGACGTGAGCCCCTGGCACAGGTTGCCCAGAGAAGCTGTGGCTGCCCCATCCCTGGAAGTGTTCAAGGCCAGGGTGGATGGAGCTCTGAGTATCCTGGTCTAGTGGAAAGTGTCCCTGCCCGTGGCAGGGGTTGGAACGAGGTGATCTTTAATGCTCCAACCCAAACCATTCTGCAGTTGTTCTTGTTTTAAGGCTGAAAGAGCCAGAAATGCCCATAGAGGTACTGGCTGGAAGCAGCTCTCCATCTGTGGGCCAGGCTCCAGCTGAGCTGTTCCATGAAACCAAACCCATCACTACCATCCCAATGCCAGGAATAAAAGCATTGGACACATCTAACTAAGCTCCTTTGCAATCAGTTCACACCATGACTCCTCCACTGTTGTGGCTACTCCCAATCTGATTTGAGAGGTGACAGAAAATTCTGGATGTTAACACAAATCCCTGGCAAAAGCAGCCAGTGCAGAGCTGATGGGCAGCAGGAGCTGTTCAGAAATGATGGCAATGCATTTCTTACAATTACCACTGACCAAAGTGTTTTCTGTGGGAATTCTCAAGACTCCACGCAGTGTGCACTCCCCACAAGACAATATGGTCAGTTCAGGTGAAGCTTTAATTCCCATACATACTTTTTTTAGAAAAGTAACATGAAGGATTTGTTTTAACTGAGAGGGTAAAGAGGGTGGTTAACAAAAGGTATTTTGATTAAAGCTGTTAATCATAAGCCACCTTATCACTGCAAGCAGTATTTCCTCTCAGCTTTGCTTATTTAACATCAATAACTTTTGACAACACACATTTATTGCCCAACACTTCCTGAACTGAGGGATGCTTCCGGCAGTCCTAAGAAAATGAGAACATTTTTTTTCTTCTGTAACAGTAAAACAATTCCTTTTTCCCACTGCTCCCTCCAATCAGTATTGGAGCAGCCTGGAGTTCAGCTTTTTGTTACAGGCTGCTGGGTGAGATCTGCACTTCCAAAGCAACACACTTGGCTCTTCCTCATGTTTGTGATAAAACAACTTGAGCCTTATTTTCTTTACTTTAGTTGTGGTTGCAAAGTACAGCTTTTTTTTTGCTACCTGACCTTCCTGCAGGGATTTGTTCAGTTTTTTGTTCCCCAGAAGCAAGTTATTTGCTCCACCCAGCATCCACAGAGTCTTACATCTTATTTGTACAACAGGAAGTACCTTGCTTTACCTGAACTCACCCTTGTCTTGCACCAAGACTTCCAACATGTTTTCTACTTCCTGCTGGATCTCCACCACCTCCCTGGGCAGCCTCTTCTAATGTCTAACAACCCTTCCCATGAAGAAATTCTTCCTGATGTCCAACCTGAACCTCTCCTGGTGCAGCTTGAGGCTAAATGTCCAATCACCAGTTGGTCAAGCATTTCATTCTCATTCATACAAGTGGTTCTGTATAAAATATTTAAACTGCCATGAACCAGCACTCCTGTCTGAGGTAGCAGTTCTCTGCCTTGTCACTGCACTGAGCCACTCTTTCTGTATCCTTGGGAATACAACAGCTTTGGAAACACCGGTATACCTAAGGCTGTGTAATAATGTTGCATAATTCTAAGATACAGAAGACGTTGCTTCATCACAGAAATATATTTCATGAAGAGGGATGAGTTTATCAAGATGTCCCATGTAAAATTTGACTTGGGTCTGCGAGGTGGAGTGACTGCTTGTCTTCATGGAGTTTGGGCTTTGCTCATCTGTGCCTGGTAATATGCAGGAGCTGCTAATTTCAGACTGGAATTATTGACATAATTCAATTCTGATGAATCATGGTTAATTTAGGGGGAGGGTTGGTCTTCCCCATAGCAGGGAAAGCTCCGAGGCAGTGTTATATAGGAAGGAAGTAAAAGCTTGGTTAACAGGGATAAAAGGCTGTTTCCCATTCCTCAGAGAAGTTAATAGTTCACCAGCAGTGCCCTGGCTGGAGCTGCTGAGGTCCTTCAGCAGCAGGTATTCCATATATGGAGAAGCACTACAAGCAGGTAATTCTCTGACCTTAACCATGGGAACCAGGAAGGTGTCCCTGCCCATGGCAGGGGGCTGGAACTGGATGATCTTAAAGGTCCCTTCCAACCCAAACCATTTTGTGATTCACCTCCCAGCAGCACCCTCCAAGCAGCATCTGCCACATCCTCCATTTTCCTACTGTAGCTAAAGCATGAAAAAACTAAAGCTCATTTGTCACAGGCCCAAGCAACACATACCTGAATTCTACCCCTCCCACAGGAACCTTGCAGTACCTGTCCCTGCAGCCATGCTCACTTTGTTGCAAAATGTGGAATATGTCAGAATTATCTGAAGTCAGGATGTTCTGTGATGTAAGATCTTTGTGTACTTTCAAGCCTAATCAGCAAGAAAGGAGAACTCATCAGTGGGGCAGGCAGCAGATGCATCCCTTAGTCAAGGACATCCTGGAAGCAACAAGCTTTAAAGAAGCAGTAAATCAAGATGTTGATGTCTATGCATACAGTGCTAACTTGGCAAAATACTCAAGGTCCCTGTATACTATAGCTGAACTGTCTTCATTGCAATTCCAAAAATCATGCCTACAGGTCAAAAAGACCCTGGCCAGGTGCAGACCCTTCCCCGGAGCATGCGTAGAAGTTAGCTGGGATTACGTACTTTGTATAGAAATTAATAATGAATCCTAATGTCCAGAGGAGGCCACCAAGATGATCAGAGGGATGGAGCACCTCTTCTAAAAGGAAAGGCTGAGAGAATTGGGATTGTTTAGCCTGGGAAAGAGATGGCTCCAGGGTGACCTAACTGCGGCTTCCCAGTACCTGAAGGGATCCTACAAGGAAGACACAGACTATTTACAAGGGCCTGGAGTGACAGGACAAGGGGGAATGGCTTCAAACTGACAGGTTTAGATTGGGTATTTGGAGGAAGTTCTTCCCTGTGAGGGTGGGGAAGCACTAGCACAGGTTGCCCCATCCCTGGAGGTCCAAGGCTGGGTTGGATGGGGCTTGGAGCAACCTGGTCTAGTGGAAGGTGTCCCTGCCCATGGCAGTGGGGTGGAATGAGATGAGGTTTAAGCTACCTCCAACCCAGGCCATCCTGGGATTCTTTGATTCTAATAGAGGGGCTGTGCCTGGGAAGTGACTAACTCTGAACTTCTGTGTATAAATGACAGTGTGGAAAGTCCAGTGGGGTGTGCTGGATTTGTGGAATACCACCAAGCATCTGGGCTTGGGCAGCTCTGAAATAAATAATCCATGTTGCTCTCGAGTGTGTCATTATTGGCTTGTTGCACACTGGGGAATGAGCCTGATTTTGTTCCCCAGACAGTAACCTGAATGATCACACAGCACCACACGCAGAGCTGTGGGTGCGATGGAGACTGGGCCCCTCACCACAACCTCCCTGCACTGTTATGAAGCTGGTCACTGTCTTACGGTGATCCCACAGCTGCTGGGGCATCCCCCAGCCTGGCTCCCACATCCCCATCCCCTTCAGGAGGATCACAGGATCAGTTAGGTTGGAAAGGACCTCTGCAATCATCGAGTCCACCGTGTCAACTTGATCAGAGCACCAAGGGCTACGTCCAGTCTGTCCTTAAACACCTCCAGGGACAGTGACTCCACCACCTGCCTACACAGTCCATGCCAAATGGACTTCCATTCCAAATGGAATTCCAGAAGTCCATTCCGGGATCACCCACCGCAGCTGCCACAGTGCCTCTGGTGATGGGCAAGGGAGGTTACACAGGATTTATCCTGAAGGCACCTCTCACAGGCATCCAAATACATCCAAACCCTCTAAGTATTGTGAAAGTGCATATGTATCAGTGATGCAGGAGAGACCAGAGATACTGTTTTAACTCATATTCACACGGTGCTTCGAGCTGATGGGTGGCAGGAAGGGTGGAAAGAAGCAAGCAGAGCCTCAAAAAGGAAAGTTGGATGGCTCATGCTGCTGATAGCATCGAAGCAACAGCTGCTAAATTAAGAGGCACTTCAAAGAGTCTCTATTTTGTTATACACGGAAATGAGTCGGTTATTTTGGTTGAGAATACCGCGTTTTCCAAAACCCCGACCCCTCGCGGGCAGCGCCAACATGGCGGCGGGTCCCGTCACGTGCCCGGCGGCGGCCGCGCCCCGCGCGCGCGCGGCGCCTCCCCCGTGAGGGAGGCGAGAAAATGGCGGCGGCGGCGGCGGCGCCTTGAGCGGCGCGTCCCAGGCGAGTGTCCCGGCGGGACGCGCGGGGCGCGGGCGAGCGGCAGCCGCGGGGCCCCGTCCGGGCCGCGGGGGCGGGGAACGCGCGCCCTGACCGCGCCCCGGCGGCGGGCCGGCCCCTCCCGCCCACCTTTCCTCCCCTGAGGGGGCGGCGGCGGGGCCGGGCTGGGCGAGGCGGGGGCTGAGGGTGGGTCCGGGCGCGGGGGCGTCCGGCGAGGGGGCCGCGGGGCCCCTCAGCGTTGGGAGGGTTCACGGCGTGGCGTGGGGTGTATTCCCACAGAGCGTACCTTCGTTATTTGTTTTATTGTCATTTTATTACCTTTTTTCCCCGTTATTTAATTATTTCTTTCAATGCCTTTTGCCACATACCAAAATGCCTGTAGGTGGTTAGGCTTGGAGGAAATGTTCCGGTTTTTTGGGTTTTTTTTTTTGTGGTTTGTACCCTTGGAGTTGTAGCGGGAGGTTGTGAATGGAAAGAATAAGAATAAACTGTATATATTAAAAAGAAAAAAAAAGCCCCGACTATTTTTAGATAACAGTTATGGTTGCGGATTGTCAGCAATGTTTGTTATTACCATGGTGTTTACCAAAACTTTGTAAAACATGAGCAGTGATATTCGTGTGCACTGTGAAGGTAATTTAACCTTATTGGCATAGACTAGCAGGTATTTTTTTTACTTACGGTGTTTGCTTTCAACAAAAAAATATAAAGCAACAAAACTACTGAATATTTACCTTATGCACAGTAATTTGAAGTTATGTGGCGTCGTGTACTGTTACTGCTTGAATAAACACTTATTTTCAATATAGTTTTCTGTTGTGCTTTGTATTTTGCGCTTGCTTAAATCCATAGTGGTGGTTTAAAGTCACTTTAGTGTGTTTTTTAAAACTTACTCTGCATTACGGAGATTCTTTAACTTAAAAGTTGCTCGGGAGCATCATTGCAAGGTCTTCATCATTAAACAAGATTAATTTTACTCCAAATTAGCATCTCATACCTGCTTGAAGTGTGGTGTCGGAGGAGATGCTGGGCAAAATTTTAGGAGCTCTTTCCTGTTTTCATTGTACATCCATTATGGGAACAACTTGAGCAGTGACAGCGTTATTTTTGAAAATGAGACTCTCTGAGCTAAAGGATTAACAGCTCTCATGGGGTGAACTCGTGATGGAATAGTTAGCAAGTGGGATATGTTGCACATCTTGCTTATAACACATCCAAAATGTGGCTGAGAATGAAGGAAATGATACATCCAGTGTTGTTTTCTTAGGCTCATTTAACTGGTTGCATAACTTTGCAAAAACTAGCTAGACAAGTTGTAGGTGTAAATATTTTGAAGTGCTTTTAATGTCCTCTGGAGGAGACAGGACTGTTTTTTTTGAGGTACTTTTCATTATGTGAAATTAATGTAAAGTGGTTTTAGAAGTGCTGCTGGTTTTATTGCAGTTGGAGTGGTTACCCATGTGTGTTAATTTGTGCCCTGATGTAGGCAGACAAATGGCATCGATAATGCACAGCACATCTGAATTTTTAACAGCAGATCATACTTTTTCTTTAGTTCTAATAGCAGGGAATCTCTACTTATAAAGCATCCTTTGTTGCCGTGAATTTTGTTTGATGGCAAAGTGTATGCAAGGATCCAATATGATGGTGGGCAAGAGGTCCTTAGGTGACCATATATCTGTTAAAGTTTAGTTCTTGCAGGTACCCAGGAGCTGGAGCATCGTGTGCAGCTCTGCTCGCAGAGTAGTTGTGTTTTGGGAGGTGAGGGTGGAGCCTGGCCCTGTAGTGTTCTGCTTCCAGCTGTGTGAGCTGAAACTCCTAATTATGTTCCCATTTGATGCAGCATCCAATGGGTGGTTTGTTAAGCACTTGGCAAAGCTGCTTTTTCCCCCAGTACATTGCAGCTCTCTCTGATGATTTCTCTGAGCCCTTCTTTATGGTAAGAAGGAAACACATCTTCCCCCCCTCCCTTTTATTAACATCCTTCTAAAAGCAATAAACAGCTACTATGCTGTTTCCTGTTAATTATAGTACTAAGACTGAAAAAGAAGCCAAAGTAAACACCCCTCATATATTGAGGTTTGTGATTCATTTCAGTTTTGAAGATGACATTTTGGGAGAGAGATTGTACTCTGCAGCACAGGGAATTCTCATCAGGCTGGAGAGGATGATCTGAGGTGATTAGATAGGTAGTTTCTTCCTTGACACTTGCTGCATTGTGTGAGGTATTGCTGTAAAAAGCATTTTTCAATATATCCTTTCCCTCTCTTTCCAAACAAACATACCACCAGTGATTTTTATGAAAAACAGGTTTTGCTTCTTGTCCAGGATCAACCAGCAGTTCAGTGCTGGGCTGTGAGGGAAAGGGATATGGCAGTACACCTTTGTAGCTGGCTGGAAATCTTGCATGTATTCCTGAGCAACTTTTGATGGATCTTAGATTATAACCACATTTCTCGGTAAATTTCATCAAGCAATAGCAAATACTACAAACTTAGATTAGGTATTAGGAAGAAATTGTTCCCTCTGAGGGTGGTGACTGGCACAGGCTGCCCAGAGAAGCTGTGGCTGCCCTGTCGCTGGAAGTGTCCAAAGCCAGGTTGGACAGGGCTTGGAGCAACCTGGACTAGTGGAAGTGGGGTGAGATGATCTTTAAGGTCTCTTCCAACCCAAATCATTCTGTGATTCTATAAATCTTATCCATTTGAAAACTGTCTGTTATTTTATCTCAGCAAAACTTTGATTTTTTTTTTGTGTTTAACACCAGTGTGTGCTGGCCTTCTGTTTGTGATCACTGTTATCTCCGTCCTGCCAGGCTGGACAGGCGCTGCAGAGCGATGGAGAATGAACCAAACACAACAACATGTTCTGCACCTACAACGACTGTCACCACCACCTCCACCTCCCGGACAGCGCTCCCGCAGATCTCCGTCTACAGCGGCTCCGACAGACATGCTGTCCAGGTACTGGGCTGTGGGATGTTCTCCCCTGTCCTGTACAGAGCTCTCAGTACAGGCATTGCACAATACTTTACACAAGATTAACTTTCCAGTCTTAATTGCTGTTGTCTGTCTGCATAGCTGACTTATCGTTTTCAGGAGAGAGATGTTGTCTACTGAAGGATATCAGACCACTTAAGGATAGTGCAGGGTACAGACCTGACTCCCAAATAAGGGAGGGGGGAAATGCTACACTAGAAAGTTTGGTTGGTTTATCATGTGCTAAGGGTTTGGATTATTAACATAAACCTTTACAAAATAAAGCTGTTTGAGCAACATTGACTACAGGGATCCAGAGGTATCTGTGTGGGATCCAGCCCCTTCTTGCTTCTCTTGAAATTAGGTCTCCTTGAACTCTGTACAGTCTATTCTGTTGGGTTTCATAATTGGGTCTCTCACACACTACCCTGGTCTCTCAAAAAGCAGAACATGATGTAGGATGTGTTGACAAGCAGCTGAGAGGCTGGGATGTTGTGTTGGGAATGATGCTGTATTGTCAGGCTGTCCTTGAGAGCATGAATATATTGATGCTGACAATGCTCTGTGACTTTAGCAAGAACAGTGGTGGAGCAAGTTCAGTATTACAAAACTGGTGTGAAAAGAATTTATTTGGTTGTGTCTCCTTGTAAAGGTAAACTTCAACATCATGTCAGCATGGTGTGTGCTTTGTAATTGTAATTAATTACCTACTGATTCATCACAGGTTATTCAGCAGGCCTTGCATCGTCCTCCTAGCTCAGCTGCTCAGTACCTCCAGCAGATGTATGCAGCCCAACAGCAGCATCTAATGCTGCAGACTGCTGCTCTGCAGCAGCAGCACTTAAGCAGTACCCAATTTCAGAGTCTGGCAACTGTTCCACAGGTGAGAGTGAAGATTGCTGACAAAGAACGGTGTATTATCTAGAGCAGGGCTACAGTCGTTGTCAAACGTAATAACAGCTTAAGTGCCTGAGCTTAAAGCCTCACCATAATTCACTGTTATGTTCTGATGACATTGTTATTTTAAATTGTATCTTCCTCCAAACAGTTTGGAGGGTTTTGTCTAGGGGTATAGATGCTCCAGTAGGCAACCATTCCATGCTTTATTGCATGCATTATAATGCATCATGTAAATCATCAAGCAGTAATAAAATAAATATTAAAAATAAACTACTTCAATCTTCATCCCATGATTTTCTCTAAATGTTGATGGGGAAAGCAATAAATAGCATTGTATCCTAGTAAAATCAAATAAAAATAATGAACATCTTAGTGTGTTTTGCCTCACATCTGGCTGCATTATAAGTAATAGCAAAATTCAATTTTAACTCTGAGTGTGAAAATGTAGGAGGTAAATGACATTTCATTTCTGAAACACAGCTTTTAACATTAGTGAGCACTGGAGGAGACCCATTTTGAACTCAGGCATTGGCAAGATTTCCTTTGACCTCAGTTGACCTTAGATTGAGAATATGATTTTGCAGAGAGAGGTGGTTGTTAACGATTTTACACATGGAAATGCTAAAATGGAGTTAAAGACCTCAGGGGAATGGCTGCTTGGTGTCAGAACTGGACTGACTCTTTTTGGCTCCTGGCTTTTCCTTCTATACCTTTTTCGTTAGATTGTGGTAATATATTGATTTGTCTTTTTTTGTTGTGATGGATTTGTGTGTGGATATACAGTTACTGAGACAGAGCAAAGGAAAGCAGGTTGGGGGAGGCTGAGAGGTTTTGGTACCAGACTGTTCATGCAGAAACCTAAATCCCTGTCCCTGTATCATCAGAAGGGCTGGAACAGCCTGCTGTCATAGACTCTAGATATGCATACATAATTTACCATTCTAGAATATGAGGGTGTTCTTTACAGCATTTGTAAGGCTTGTTTTATTTTTTTGAGGAGTCTAATTGTAGTAAAAATATGTGAGTTTTAACAAGGACAGTTTTCAATGATGTCACATTTTAAGTTCTGAGTGTCATAGGTAGTGAGCTGACCAGTAAGCTCCATCATTAACAGCTTGATAGACTTTACCTCTGATAGGTTTTGTTCAAGTCTTGATCTGAAAGAACCTTCATTTCATGCCTGAAATTGGGTAGGAATTCAAGGAATTTAGCACCTTGCAGATAGGATTCCATAGTGCAGAGTGCACTTTGCTGAAAACTATTTCCACTGAGAAGACTATTTTTACTGTTAACTCAGACAAAAGGTAAAGGTAGAGAGGGATGTTTCTCGTGGTTTATGCAATAATATGAACAACACTTAAACCCTTTCTGATTTCAATATTTGACACATATTCTTGCTATTTAGGCAAGCCTGTCAGGTGGGAGGCAATGTACTTCCCCCCCTGGGAGTGTCACTCAGCAGTCAAGCATGTCGCAGACCTCGGTACGTAACTGAACACAGCCCTCCATCCATTCCCAACCCTGCTTGGTTGTTACATGGCTACTGGGAAAAACAGAAAATACTTCAGGATTTAAAGTTGTATGGTTAAAATCGGTATTGCAGACACAGTAAACAACTCTGTAGTAAGTGTTGGGTGCTGTCTGCTGTTGTTGCTGGCCAGTGTTGGCTTCCCCAGTCCCAGACCCCTCCTGGTGCTCTGAGGGGCAGCTGCTCACTCCAGAAGCACCAGTGATTGTTCAGACTCCTGCAGGAGTCACTCCCTGAGCTCTCATACTCTTACTCAATTTCTTATTGGATTTTCCACATTAGTTTCTTTATTGAGGGCACTACAGTAGATTAAAATCATAACTGTGCATCAGTGATTAAAGAGCACCAAATCTAAAGAATCCAAGTCAACCCTAACATATATTTATGAAACTGATTAAATGTTTATAGCATTCATTCTTTTATTGATTATCATCTTTTATCATGCATCTCTTTCACACTTTCACTTCCCATAACCTAGGCATGTGCTCAGATTTCAGTTTTGAGCAGCTCTGTGTTCAGTTCATGTTGTATTTCTTTAAGTGGCATCTTCAGACATATAATTTGCACAGTCTTTACAGTTCTACAGTTGTCTGGCGTTGGATTTGTTAGTCCTGCAGACATCCTGCTTATTAATCACACCCTCGAGCTGTTCATGACTCCAGTGCATAGCTTCAGTGATTTAACTGTATATTTTTTTAAGCTCTCATAGCTTGGCTTGGCTTACAGCTGTTAGAAGTAAAATCATTCATTCATTAAATTTAGGAGGGAAAGTCTTTAAAGATGTCTGATGTTTAACAGAATAATTGGGCTGGGGTTTTTCAAGGAAATCTTTTAAGTAAGTGATGAAAAAGAGCTGGGCACTTAACTCTGTTAGACTGGTTAGAAAAGAAAAAGAAAAAAGAAAACCAAACCACAACAGCTTTTTTTTTTTTTTTGAGAAGATGCTACAGAGCAGTTGTTGAGGAACATTTAATATGAAATTAGAGAAAGTTGTAGTCTTCAGTTCATTTTTCATGTGCATATGGAAAATGAGGATTTAAAGTCCATATGTGGTGGCACAAAGAAGTATCCTGATCAGGTTACATAGCAAGCATAACAAAAGATACCAGTCCAGGCAGATAATATAAACATTTAAAAATGCTTCAATATTAAAATTCATGTGTTTTTGTTAAAATATTGTGGGCTCATGCTACTTCTTCTGTAAATGTGTATTTCTATGAGGTGTATTTTTCAGATTTCATAATATCATTGTTTATACTCGTAACTGCTTATTATTTACTGCAAAGTGGTTTCTTGCAGTTTAAGAACCAAAATGTACAATCTTGCCAGAATTCAGTTTTGTGATGATTGGCTCAATATATTTTTGATACCTTTACAGTTCAGAGGTTTCAACTGCCCCTGCCATTTTTGTCAAAGGCTTTCTGGCTTTAGACCATACATAGGATGACTGAATTTCCATGACAGAGGCAATATTTTTGTTTCCTTAGATTAACCTCTCCACCTCTCCCACACCTGCACAGATAATAAGCCGTTCTCAGACCTCCAACACCACCAGCAGCAGCATCACCCAGCAGACGATGTTGCTGGGCAGCACCTCTCCCACCCTGAGTGCAAGCCAGGCTCAAATGTACCTACGAGCTCAGATGGTAAGTTTGGATTACAGTCCTTAAGACTGGCTTAGGTCCAACCATGTTGTCTCCACAGCTCTTAAATGTTAAATAACATTTTGACACACTTGAAGATTGAAGTTCTCTTTATTATAGTAGATATTGGGCTGCTCTCTCGTCTTTGTTTCACTCATTTGTAATATTGGAGGGGATGTCCTCTTGTGAAACAGATCATAGATGTATTTATAAATTGCCAAGGTTTTTCTCAACATGTATAACAAATATTTTAAATTATTTTCCTTTAGTTTTATTTACTTAAAACTACCATGATAAATTGTTCTTTAAGTAAGTTAATCTAACAGTAAAGTAGTGAATCTCAGAATCTGTGCATCAGTACATGTAAGTTATGTATCTCCTTGAGGTGCTGCATTTCTTTTACAGATTTTAAAAATTTCAGTCTGTTGGCATATATTTTTTTCTTGCTTAACAGCTTATTTTTACTCCTGCGACCACTGTGGCTGCTGTCCAGTCTGACATTCCTGTTGTCTCATCATCCTCCTCATCTTCCTGTCAGTCTGCAGCTACTCAGGTGAGCTTGTGTAAACTTGTGGAAGGTCTGTGCAGCAAAGTGAGCCAAAACTTAAAAGGAAGGAAATATTGTGTGCTTATAAAAAGGACTCACCCCAGACCTTAGAGCAGCTGAGCTGCTGGAGGGCTCCTGCCAAACTCAGCTGTTCCTCTCCTCTCTCATGGGTAACTCAGGTGGGTCACCTTATCTGTAAAGGTGTGCTGAAGGTTGAGTTGTACTCACAGGGGTAGGGTTGCAGTAAATGCCATCTGCATGGCAGTGAGGAAACAGCTACTCTTGTCTTCAGAACAGGGTTTGAACACTTCCTGTGGTAACATGCTGAGCAGTGAGAAGTGTGAACTAGCTGTTCATTACAGGAGTGCTAAATGTTGAGTAAGGAAGGGATCATGTAATCAAAATAGTGGATGGTGGTAATAATTAGTCCTCTTTTTCATGTAAATATGATGTAAATTAGTGTACAAGTCGTTATCCTTGAAAATAAAATTCTAGCTCAGCAATAGGATTGGAGATCTGGGATCATTCTGTACAGAACCTGGCTGTGATATAACAGACTTCAATGAAAATAATCTCTGCCTGATTTACTTCCAGAAGGCAAACTTGTTGTTTCATGTGACATTGGAGGTGTCAGGAAAAGGTAGATTAATATCACTGTAGAAACAAAGGTCTCAGTTTTGTTAGTGCATGGATAACACAGAGCAGACTCTGATCCCACCAACCACCCAAGGTCTGCTTTATGTTGGTGTCTGGAGCTCACTCACAGGCAACTGCACTTGTGCAGTGTCTGTATGAAAATAAAATTGCTTTTGCTTAAGATGCTTTGTGTCATTCACTTTGAAGGCACAATACAAGAAAAAATTAAAGTTTTAATTCAAATTAATGAACAATTTCCATTTCTTTTGGAAGTTCAATAAGGAGCAAAAGCCTTTTCTGTGTTTTCTTTATTGCCAAAGTAATAAAGATCCGTATCCTTCTCTAAATTTTATAGCTTATGCAGATTTTTAGATTCTTTTGATCACATGGGATGAGAAGTATTACCTAATGTGATTTTTTTTTTTGCTATTTTTGCCTGCTGTTTGTCATGGATGTTTATATGGTTTGGATTTTTCGTGTTTTGCTCATTTCCCAGGTTCAGAACTTGACGTTGCGCAGTCAGAAGCTGGGTGTGCTGTCAAGTTCCCAGAATGGCCCACCAAAGAGCAGCAGCCAAACTCAGTCACTGTCCCTGTGCCCGAATAAACCTGTCACCATTTCCAAGGGCAGCCAACCAGATCCCTCAGAAAGCAATAGGAAAGGCGAGAGCCCAACTCCGGAGTGCCGGAGCACCCCGGTCACACGGACATCCAGCATCCATCACTTAATAACACCAGGTAGGGTGAAAATGGAGCTACAGGAAACTTATTTTCATTAAAATAATTGGTACGTTACGGTTCTGTCAGAATTCAGTGCTCTCTGACAGAGTTCTTTTAGATATTCCACGTGAATAGAGTTTAAATTTTAATAGTAAATTTATTTATTTGTTGATATTGGATGTTGCACAGGATGTTGACTGAGCAGATGCAGGAATGTTCTTAAATCACAGTACAAGCACAATATAGCAATTGCAGTACACAGTTAAATCACAGCACAAACAAGACTCTCATTCCTGGTCTCCCTGTATACTTATTGTCAGGCCATGTCATCCCCAGTCTCTGGGAAGCAATATGTGGGCTGAAACCACATCAAGCCTCTTGCTCTCATCAAAATCTATTTGTTTGTGGTTTGTTTGTTTTCTTCTATCTTGTCTGTGTCATCAGAATGTTCCTCTATCAAGTACCTTTATAAATCCATAGGTAATAATGCTCAGAATCTTAGTATTTTGTATTAAGAGATAAATGAAAATAACCTGCACTTGGTTAGATAAGCACTTCCATTGCATGCAGCTTATTTGCATCTCGGCATCCTTATTTTGAAAGAGTGAGGGTAGTTTAGACAACTGGTCTGAATTCTGTGGAATTTAGCTTGGCTAATGGCAGCTTTTAGAGAAAGAGTGGGATTTGGAGGCAGACATTCTGGAGGTACTGAGCCCTAATGCTCTCAGAGCTCAGTTTGGTAAGGAAAAAAATCCATCCTTAGTAGCAGAATAAATCATAAAAATCCTCCATAAGTGAGTTTTTTCTCAAGTGGACAAGACAAAGCAAGAAGAGGTTTGGATGTGGAGGATGATATGTGTGTGTGCTGTAAGGAATTACTAGTGAGTCACTGATTCACTTTAAGGTGGTATCTCTGGAAGCTGCACTATTTTTAGATTTGTACCTCTCAGTTTGTGTGTTCAAGTTCAGGCAAATACTTTCAGTGGTTTAAATTTATACTGAATTCTTGGAATTTTAGATAATACTATTTTTAGAGACTAAATAAACTTTTAACTTAGCAGTTATCAGCAAATCCTGATGATTGTGACATGCTTATAATTTCTATTCCAGTCTGTTTCAAAGCAAAGGTTTAATTTGTTTGAAGTCGCATGAAATTCTTAAATAAGCTGGATCAACTTAAATAGATAAACATAATAAACGTAAGTTTAAATACGCTGGATCAACAGTAATCTTAGAACTAGCTCCAAAAAGATTAATTTATGTACTTTTATCTAGCAAGTACATATATGTAAAAAGCATGGCTATGTTTCTTTATTCATTGCTGCATTTTCCTTTGGATGTATTCTCCTAATAAATTGTTCTTGTGTACTATATGCTGTCAAAGAAGATATTTCTAAACATGTATCCTAAGTGTTCGAAAAATTGTGCTGATCTTCAAAGTGAAAACTTTTGAAAGTATTTTATAATGTTTTCAGGATTTGAAGACATAAATACTAATTGTCAGGTGTGGATTTTTTTTTCCTCTCACAGCTTCATATTCTCCATTGCAACCTCATTCTCTAGTAAAGCATCAGCAGATCCCACTTCATTCACCACCTCCAAAGATCTCCCATCATCAGCTGATATTGCAGCAGCAGCAGCAAGTCCAGCCGATCGCACTCCAGACTCCTTCGGGCCAGGAGCCGCCTCCATCCCAGCACTGTCTGCCCCTCCCGAGCCACGGGCTTCCTCCGGCTCCCAGCAGCGTCCCGTCCCACTGCTCGCCGATCCACATCCATCCTCCGCCTCTAACGCTCTCTCCCAGCCCATCCCAGTCAGCGCAGCAGTCGGTGGTGGTGTCCCCTCCGCCGTCGCACTCCCCGAGTCAGTCCCCCACCATAATTATTCACCCCCAAGCCCTTATCCAGTCCCAGGCGAACTCCCTGGTGCCCGCGGCGCTGCAGCCGGAGCCGGCGGCTCCTCCGCCCGCTCCCAGCACCCCGGTGCGCCCGGTGGCGCAGCCGCTCAACCTTCCGCCGCACCTCCCGCTGCCGCCCTCGCCCGCCGTGCACATCGGGGCGGTGGAGCAGCCCGGCCTGGTGTCCCCGGGACAGCAGCTCGTGCCCTCCACGCCACACCAGCAATATCCCGCCCTGCAGTCCGCTCCCATCCCTCTGGCTGCTCCTCCCCAGCTCTCGGCATCGTCCACCCAGATTCAGCCGCTGCCCTTGCAGTCTGTGCAGTCTTTACAAGTGCAGCCTGAAATTCTGTCCCAGGGGCAGGTTTTGGTTCAAAACACTTTGGTTTCTGAGGAAGAACTTCCTGCTGCAGAAGCTCTGGTCCAGCTGCCATTTCAAACTCTTCCACCTCCACAGACTGTCGCAGTAAATCTGCAGGTGCAGCCATCGGTTCCCATTGAAACTCCAGTGGTAAGTGGTAACATTACGTCCTTTGTTCTTTATCCTGGGCTTCTCCAGAGCTGTGACTCTGGACCATTGACTTCAGAGGGAGCTAAGCCAGGTGCTAGACAGAGGACAAGAAGAAAGCTATTGACTATAGAAATGAGTTTTAAGGAAACAATAGACATTTTTCCTCTGGTTTATTTTTTGTTGGCTTTCTGTAATGGATCATCAGTCAAGAATATCAACCAGAAATCATAGAAGTGCAAATATGGAACTTAGAATCTTATCTTCTGATGAAATTGCAGTATGTTTAAAGTTAAAAAAGGAAATATGTATGTTAACGATTATGTTAAAATGAACTTTTATCAATGTACCATATAGACTGTAAGCTCTTACCTCTATCTTAATACAAATATAGGTGTTCCAAATTTTGAGTAAGAGAAGCATCTCTATACCAAATGTGAAGGTGTGTAGCAGGTTATTAAGATAATAGGGTTCTGAATAATTAGTTTTATACTAACATTGCAAATATCCTCATCATAAAAGAATAGGGCAATGTTTGATGCTGTTTTGGTAACTCCCATCACTGCCATTTAATTTGGTTCAGTGTTAGTCTCAGATGTTTGCAGTTTGTAACTGAAGGTTTTGGCTTCAGTCACTGACCTAAAATCATGTACAGTGAAATAAAATGATGTGCAAATAATGCATTTAAGATGGCATTGAGATTAACTTGAGCAAAAGAATCAAGAGGTCCTGTAGGCTTTTTTTGGGCTATCAACAGGTTAAGGAAGGAGGTGTGGTGTTCATTTTTAACTTATATTAAGAATTAATAATCTCAACTGTGATATTTCACGTAGAGATCAGGCAAAAGAGTATAAACCAGGTTTGCTTTTGACAAGGTGGTGTTTTACATTTTAATCTGCTCAACTGACTCAGTAATTCCTGTAAATTTAATAGTTTTGAGGAAAGTACTTTAAAATCTCTTAAACACTAATGCTTGATAGTCTTGGTGTACTCTTCTGAAATACTAAGTTTAATTATGCTGCTGAATAAGTTAGACAACAATTTGCAGTCTTGTCATTAACTTGTGTTTTGTTGATGTGTTTAAATAGCATCAAATGTGCATGTAAATAAAAATATAGTCAACTATACAGATAAGATATCAAAAAAGTCAAGTTCTCTGGTCTCTTTATATTTTGCTATTTGTAACAAAATACTTTAATTTTGCTCTCATAGACGTTGTGATGTCCTCAAAGTTCACTGTTTGGTGTGCAGTTTGGAAACTAATATTTTATTAGGAGATTAGCATATTTGAACCGGTAATTTATTTTAAAAACTGTATTTATGCAACTCTTTTAAGGTATTAGGATAGAATGGAAATCTCTCTAAAGCAATAGTTTGTTGGATGCAGATTTACCAAGTGGAGAATGTGTGTGAAGAAGAGATGCCCGAGGACTCGGATTGTGTGCACATGGCAAGAACACCAACACCACCCACCTTGTCTCCACCAGCCATAACCTTGGGGAATGGAGAGGCCCTTAATTCAGATGATCCTTTGTCAGGTGAGGACAAATGTCCAACTAAGGTAGCTTTTGATATATGGATTTGTGATTTGTGTAAGTAATTAATGGCCAACTATGCTTATAATCAGTAGATATTGAATAAAGGAGAATGTTTACATGAGGAGTGTGTGTTTGTGGAATATATAGTCTGTCTAGAGAAACAATCTTGTTTTAAAGGTAAAATCTATAAGCTGTAGGGAAGAGCCTGTTAGGGGTTGATGGGTGCAGAGATTGGTCTTTTTATCACCTCTTCTGTCTAGAATTCTGAGCCAGTGTTTGGACATCAGTGATAAAAACATAACATATTTGTTATCTTTTTCAGAACACGGGGGACTGCCTTCAGTGACATCATCAGTCAGTGCCTCAGTAATTAAATCTCCATCTGATCCTTCACATGCCTCTATTCCACCACCACCTCTTTTGCTTCCAGCAGCAACGACAAGGAGCAACAGCACCTCAATGCCCAACAGCATTCCTAGCCTAGAAAATAAACCTCCACAGGCTATTGTTAAACCCCAGATCCTGACCCATGTCATTGAAGGCTTTGTGATTCAGGAGGGGTTGGAGCCATTCCCTGTAAGTGTAGAAGTTGCTAAGAAATTTTTACGACTAATCTTTGAAACAAACTGTTTGTAAGGATGATATTTGTGGCTAGTAGGTATTTAGATCCTGAATTATTTCTCAGATGTTGGTTTTGACCTTTTGTCTACTGATTGGTGAGTTGAGTAGTAGGTTATATCTGGAGATAACTACAGAGAGTGATTTTAGGCTGCCATTTGGAGTAACATTTTTACATTTGTCTGTCTCCAAGATCCCTCAATTTTAGTGATACTTTAATTTGCACCTCAGAGCTGAGTCTGTGTTAAAATTCCAAAATGTTAAAAATTGTTATTTAAAGCCCTGGCAAACTCCTTAGGGGGCTAGGTGTGATTAGTGCTGTGCCTGGTTAAGAATTACTGTTGAAATTTTTAAATCCACAAATGGCCAATTTAAAACCTGCCTTATTAACTAATTTAATGTGAATCTCATTTCACCATTCCTTCATTTGCGTAGGTATAATGTGTTTCTTCCTTTGTTAAATGTAATTGCCAAGTGTGCAGAGCTGAGTCTTTATTTGTTAGAGAAAGGGTATTTAGAGCTTTGGCACCACATAATGATTCATGGATAGGGAGTAGAAACTGGTCATCCACTCAGGTACAACTGCTAAGTCACAAATACTGTTTTTAGTTATTCCCTTTTGCTTTGCTTTTATTGCAATAGGTCAGTCGTTCATCTTTGCTGGTGGAACAGCCTGCAGAAAAAAGGTTGCTGGTGGAGGGTCAGATCATGAGTGTTGTGTGTGTGGAGTCAGACTTGCAGAACACGAAACACGCAGACAACTCATCGGACACAGAGATCGAGGATATGATTGCAGAAGGTTTGTGGGTTTTGTTTAAATACCCACTTTTTCCCCCTTCAGTTTTGTGTAGTACAGAATCCCATCCTGGCTGTACTTCTGGAATCTTCCTCCGGTCTTTACACCGTCTTTAATATAAACTATTTTCAAATGTTTTTTGCTCACAACACACCAACACAAATGTCAAGACATTATGCACTTGTCCTGCTTAGAATACAGTGGTCTCCAGCACAACTCATGAGCTCAATTAAGTTCCCCATGCAGTATCCAACACAGTCATCATCGTGGACTTTTTAGAACTCAGCAGTCAACTATTTTGGATGTGTAACACCACTGTTACTGTTCAAACCCAGATGTAGGTAGCCTTGTGTGTGTGCTGTGAAATGGAAATCAAACTGTGGCCTGCCCCAGAAAAACCAAGTTATTCTGTAAACACACATTTTTGGATAAATTCATCCAAGATTTGAACGTTCAGAATTTTTTAGCCACACCTGGATTTTCTCTTCTACAACTTGAGACTTTGTTGCACCAGAGCGGGTTTTGGTGATCTGTTTAAATTTGTCTTAATGCATCTCTTTGTTTCATTGTCTTAAAATAGTTCTTTTCACACTTCGATATAAAAACTGCAGAGAGCGGAGTAAGAAAGGACAAATCCAGTGCCTGCTGCTGCCCCAGGTCTGCATCAGGGAAGCTTGGTTTAGAAAGCTCTCTGAATTGAAGCAGAGTATTTGTTGGTAGTGAAGACAAGTAAACGTGACTGGAATTTTTGATTGAGGGTGATTTGCTTTGCTGCTCAGGCAATATGTATTTCTGCTTAAAATTAAGAATATATTTTTACTTATAGCACTGGTTTTTAGTAGGAGCTGATTTAGCTTGGAGGGAAATATTGATAGATTGTAGCCCTCCTACTTGTTGATACAACATCAATGCAAAGTCAGAAACTGTGAAAACAGTGCCTGAAAATCTGTAAACCAGGGCTTCCTAAGTTGTGGCTGATAATATGATTGCATTTACTAGGATGTCTCTGGATAGTCCAGGGCTCTTCTTCATTTTGCAGTAACAGCCTAATTTAGGCTATGGCAGATATTTGAAGTGCTTTGCTTTGTGACTTTCTTTTGATTCTGTTGTAATTGTTGTAATTCTACATAGAAAAATGAAGAAACAATTTTTAGAGTCCATTTTTAAGATATATTACACAATATTCTACTACAAGATAATCTGAGGCCCATACCTTATCCTTCACAAACCTTCACATAGGCATGTCAAACTAAATTTTAGAAGGCAAACATCTGGCACATTAATAGTGAAGAGTTGCAGTGGGACTGGAAATTTTCTATATCTTTAATTGAGTTTAAAATTGCTGTTGATTTTTGCATCATCTCCCATTGAGGGGCTTACATTTAACCAGTTCTTTGAGAGGTAAGTCCAGTGATATGAAACCATCAAGCACATCAAAAAGGTCATCTGGTAAATTGTTTGACTTGTTTGACATTCTTTGGTTCTTTTGCAGCTCAGTGGAGTTATACTGATTTTCTACACAAAAATGAGACCTGTAAATCTCTTGTCTAATGACTGTGCTTAGTAAATTGATGTTAAATAAACTTTCTTGATCAAAAGTATCACTTTTTTTTTAATATCTTATTTCACCCAATATATTTCAAACAAAATAAACTTTTTGCCCTCTGATGTATCTTCTAGAATGTTTGAAGCTCTGTTTGCAATAGTTATTTTGCCCTTTGTTACACTAGATGTTAATTCAGTTTTCTTTTCAATACGAACACTATACTGTTTTTCAGATTTCAAACAGCTTGTTTGTTTTATGGAATTCCTCAAACATTCATGGGTTTGCTTTTAGTTATTGTTCCTGACAGCTGGTGTTAAGTTTATGTACAAAACTCATAACTACTCATGAGATGAGCTAGTAGGAAACATCCAACGTCAAGATGCATCCACATATGCAGAAGTTGAGCAAAGATTTTCTTATAGTAAACCTGGATATGATTGTGTTTGTGGTAGAGACACCTTTCAAATACCCTTTTTGGTGTTTCTGGCTCTTTGCTGCCCTACTGCTTTTTGTGGAGCAGGAAAAGAGCCGCCTCATCTCACCAGTAACAGAAAAATATTCTGTACCAGGAGGCTGCAAATCAGCAGATGCCATAATCCTCTTTTTTCTTACATCCAGCTTATCTTTTTCATAGATTCAGTATTCCATAGATTCAAGATTCAATGTTTTCCTTGCTTTCATGTGTCCCTTTGGTTGTAGCAGTTGCTTATTCAAAGAAAGTATTTAAAAGGTTACTGCATTATGTCATTACAGGAGAGCTTGAATTTAGACTGTGGAAGACCTGGTTCTCTTAATGAACTCTTTATAAAGTAATTTATGAAGACTGTAACTCTGTTTAACTGTTTGCTAAGTTTGAGGACGTGCTTGCTCATGGATGGCTTGAAATACAACAAAAAAATGATTAAATTCATTGCATAACTTAATTGAAGGTTCAGTAAGGTTCAGTTTGCTCAAGATCTTTTCCACAGAGAATGAAATCTACAGCGTGCTCAGCTTTGCATAATTGTCTGTTAATCAAAGGATTTAATTAAATGTGTTAGATATTTGAAAATCTTTTACCTCCCTGCTTGAGGTGAGAAATGTGAACGTAATTTTGTGTCATTGAAACTGTCTTCTTTGTGCCTCACTCCTTTCTTTAGAGGGTCTGGATGAAATCGAAAATGAACTTCTGAAGTGTGAATTTTGTGGAAAAATGGGGTATCCCAATAAGTTTCTACGGTCAAAAAGATTCTGCTCCACATCCTGTGCCAAAAGGTAACTCTATCTAGTGACTGCTTATCGTTAAGTGGTTAATGGATTAACCTCTCTTGGTTAAGAGAGGAAGAATTCCCAGTCAACATCTGAATGTAAAGTCTTCCATCATTACAACTGGAAAGTTGACGTTTAATCCCAGATGTTTTAGAAATGGGGAATAGTTTCCTGTTTCTAGTCACCGCTTAGCTCTTTTTTTGCATTCATGTGCCTGGAGATGACCTTTCTCTTTGTGTCTGCCACACTCCTATTTTAAGTAGTGAGAGTTTATATTTTTCATTTGGTACTTGTTGGGACACCACCAGTGAAATAAATTTAAGAAGGGTTTGGCCCCTTAACATGGGATTTTTGCCTTCATCCTCTTTTGGCTGGGTATCAGCCAGGTAGAGAAAAAGGAACCAAAATATGCAGTGTGATTTTAGGTTTTCAGTGGATATTTCAGAGAAGCAGAACTGTATTATGTGACAAAATGCAAAGATATTTCTATCATGGAAACATTTTAAAAATGGGAAGGATGGACATCTTCCAGGGATGATCTAGATGTACTTGATCCTGCATCAAGATGAGGGGCTTGAGTAAGTGGCCTTTGAGATACCTTTCTCTTTTATTGCTGTGACAGCTGTTGTTTTAATTAAGCAGCATTTCTACAACACTGTGATTTTATGGTTACTTGATTGAATTCAGTCCAAAAAACCATTAGTGCATTATTGAATATATCTTACTTCTTTAGGCACAGCCTTAGTTGCACTAAGAAATTTGGGCTGTTTACATCAGACAAGACCAGTCGTTGGAATCGGAAGTCAGATAGCCAAAGTCTTGGGCGACGCGGGCGTCGGCCGAGCGGCCCTGAGGGGGCGTCACGAGAGCATTTTCTTAGACAGGTCTGTGGAATATTTGCTTAAAACTATGGCATTGCTTTGGGAATTGCAAATAAAGCCTAATACTGTAGTGTATTTGTACTGCGTTTTCCAGCTTCCAATTACTTATCCATCTGCAGAAGAAGATCTGGCTCCTCATGAAGACGCTGTTCCGACGGCCATGACCACGCGGCTGCGGAGGCAGAGTGAGAGGGAGAGGGAACGGGAGCTGAGGGAGCTGAGGATCCGAAAAATGCCGGAGAGCATCGACCTGTTACCAGTGGTGCAGACTGACCCCTCAGTGTGGACTGTGGATGAAGTTTGGGCCTTTATCCATTCTTTGCCTGGTATGTTATGTGCAGTAACTTGCTCTCTTGTTCTTTAACGGTGAAGTTCCTTGCTTTATAGCATCCCTGTGATGAGGAGCTGGTGTGGTTACAGCACTGGTGTACTCCTTAGTTGGTCATAGAGACTGGAATGTGATTTGTTTCCTCTTGCTTGTTCCTTCAGCACAAATCCCATGTTGATAGAACTAGTCCCACTTCTGCTGTTGCATCCCAGCTGATGGGGTTTAGAGCTGTTCCTTCCTTCAGTCTGACTTCTCTCAAGAGGTCAGTAGAGAGGTCAGACACACTTCCTCCTTGTTACAGTTCTCTCTTCCCTCCTCCCTTTCTGGTTATTCAGTAGAAAAAGGAAGAGCAGTGTTATTTCCCTTGATACAACTGATACAACTTGATACAACTTGATACAACTTGATACAAGTTTGAAAGACCTATCCTGATACAAGTCATTAAAAAAGAATAAGCAAGTTGCTTCTATTTTTTTTTAATTTTTATTTTATTTATTTTGCATAGCTTTGCTCAGAGAACTCCTGCCTAGAGATTCTGCTTACTGGTAGGCACAGTTTGTTCTCAGAAAAAACAATCTGTTTTCTCCTTATTTACAAACCTTTTCTTTTAGCTCGATATTCACAGTTACCTTCATGTCATCTTCGGGTTATTTGACATTTATTTATAATTTCCTAATTATCATGAGCTTTAAAGCTTCACTCCCCACCTTTTCCCAAGGATGCCATTCTGTCTGATCAGATACTGTATTCCTTCCAGGTAGCAGCAGGTCTCCACAGTAGCAGTCATACCAGAATTTTTGTTCCTTACCCATTAAAACACAGGTTAACTTTGTTCCTAATTTTCTACTTTTTCTGGGATGCTAAAGAATTTTTCTGTGTATCCCATTGTGCTAATAACCTGTAAGGAATATATCTTCATTGCTAAGTCATACACATGGGTTATGATAGATAATCTTTTATAGGTCAGGCAAAGAATGGAGTAAAGAGTTGTCTTAAATCAGCAAAAGTCATCCTTGGGGTACTTTTCTTCTGATAGTTTATTGCAGTTGAGTTACATTATCTGCTTCTGGGAACCTGCAGGGTTGTCTGTAAAAACAGTCAAAGCTCCTTAGGTTTGACATGGTCATTCTTGTTTCTGTAGTTGAGCTTTGTTGCTGGAATATGGTTATATCAGTCTTGTTTTGAGTTACTGTTTTTATGGATTTGAGGCTCCAGGTAATCCAGTAACTGATCCCAGGCTCTGAATAAAGGGCAGCTCCTGTCCTAGAGTAATTGAAGTGACACATAAACACAATTCACTTGCAAGTATGAAACAAAAAATGTTATTCTTAAAATGCAGTTTCTGTTTTGAAACATTACTTTTAAAATATTTCACCAGCAGCTGGAATTAGGGTGGTTTTGTATTATATAAACAAGATAATCTTTGATTTTAAATTAACTTTACACTTCTCTGTATTTAATGAAAATTTATTATATTTACTCATTCTCATCTATATGAAGGCCTAGTTTCTCTAATACTTTTTTTGAAAGTTCTTTAAACAGTATTATATTCACAACTGGCCAGAATTATTATTGTTGCATCTACAGCTACGTTCACGTTTATTGACAGTTTGGGGGTTTATTCTGTTCAATATGTTCTCAATTTACTCTCTTCAAAAAATAGTTTTTCATATGCTGTCAGAGTTGAATAATACGAAAAATAATAGAATTGATTTTCATTATGCTGGTTTATATCATGTATCTACTTGATGCAGTCCCTGCAGACCATCTGCCATGTTGTAGGAGATGGTGATTTGTCACCTTTCCACAAACATCAGGGACATCTGTTCTGGGTTACAGCTTTCTGTGTAGTCTGTAGCTGAGATCTGAGTTCCTCTGGAGCCTTTGGGAGAAATGAAGATTGTAGGACACTTCTGCTGTTACCTCTTTCTTCTGGGAGAGGAGACAGCCACAGTTTAAGCACAATTTTCTCCTTTCTTTCTTCAGTTGCAAGATAAATGGCCCTTCACCCTCTTCCCATCCTTTTTTTATTTGGCCAAGTTATTGCACAACAAACAGTTGCAAAAGTGCTTAAGAGTACCCAGATGTGCTTGGATGAGGGAACTGAAATACATTCAACTTCCATCCTCTGCTTTTCCAAAATGACTTTGACAAAAAGTATTTCAGAAGTTGCATGGAAATTGTTTGTCTCCTGCTTAAAGGAAAAATCCTGCAACAACATGCAGTTATCTGTTTGAATAGGACCAGTTTTGTTCTGAAATGCAGGACTTTCTCTTGATCTCTCAGGTGCTTTATAAATGCTGTGGTCTGACAGTCACAATGTCTTTAAGTCAGACATGCCATGGTACCTTTCACAGGAATACTCAATATTTGACTTACAGATGTTTTATCTGTTGTCAGCACTTCAACAGGAAAACCTTTATGATGATGTTGTAGTTAATTGTTGCATGAGGTCTGTTTTAACAAATCATTAAGAAGAAAAGTCGTGCTTTGTTCTTTGTGTAAAGCCAACCTTTCCCAACCTTGAATGTTATGACCTTTACACAGTAATAGTCCAAATTAATTCAAGTTTGGATGTCAATATTTCCTTCCATGTTTCCTTTCCATTTATCTTGTACACATTTGTAAATCCATCAGGAAATTAGACTGTCTGTTCTTGATAGAGTTTAAATCTGAACACACAAGAGGACATGACATTAATTGCTCTCATCTAGGTAGAAGAGGAGTTCTTCAGAGTAATTTCATATCTCTGTAATAGTATACATTTAAAATGGAAAAATGTAGAAATGCCAGAAAATAGGCTTAACTGAGGAATAATTGAAAGCAGGAGTGGAAGGTGGAGCACAAATTAAAGTGTGTCTGAAAGGCTCTGAGACAGATGGAGAGACTGTCTGAGTCTGGACTGAGAACACAAATATCTTTAAAAAAACCATGAAAAACATGGCTCAGGGGAAAGAAGGTTGAAATAAACAGCTGACAATGGATGCTCTCTTCACATTGTCCATCTAACAGTGCTGCCATGGACCCAGACATAATTGGCTGTTTCTGCTTAACAGATGTCCAGAACATCTTTGGAGAAACCTTTGTTTCCACAGTGTTCTTCAGTGGAAAAGGGCCCTCAATTACTTGGGGCAGTCCAACCCATGGAAGAGTCTTTTGTCTCATGTTGCAAACCTCAGTAACCTGAGACCACGTTATTTCATGTTCAGAGTTTAACATGGAAAAAAGATCCAGCTAGTTTGAAGTTGTACTTGTGAAGTGAGTTACTGCCCTGTATAGATGACAGGTATCTTCATGAGATAAATCAAAACTTTGTTTCCTCAACCCAGTGGTGTAACACAAATGGACTTAACACCTTTTGGGAATGGTAGCTATGTGGATGTTCTCCTTGAGTTGCACATAGCAGTAGAATACAGTATCTTTCATAACAGTAAATAGTAGTGTCTTTTTATCTCTGGAAAGAACCTACTTGAATTATGCTCTTGATTACTATGTCAGTGCTGTTTTCACAATCTCTTCCAATTGTGGGAGGTTGTTCCTCATAATGAAATTTCAATTCTTAATTGAAATTCCCAATGAGTTACAGTGTAATTAGAGGCTGTATTAGAAATTACTTTCAGATTATCTCAGAAGTCCCTATCATAATATTGAACTCTTGCATATACTTCAGGTTCTGCAAGCTAAAGGGATGAGTGCTGGAAAAGGTGTAGCTGAAGAGCTCTAGTGTGGACAGAATCATTGCATCTAAGAATGCACATTGCTAACCAAATAAATCTATTTTTTGTTGCCTTTTAGGTTGTCAAGATATTGCAGATGAATTTAGAGCACAAGAAATTGATGGACAAGCTCTCCTTTTGTTGAAGGAGGATCACCTAATGAGTGCAATGAATATTAAGCTTGGACCTGCATTGAAAATCTGTGCACGTATCAATTCCTTGAAGGAATCCTAGGAGGTGAACATGAAGGTTTAAACAACAGTTTCTCAGTGACAGAACTGACAGTAATATGCCAACATCTTCACTGTGGCATGAGTGTTACTGTGATGTTTTGTTAAATTGATGGGGTTTTCCCCACATAAAGACTTAAAAACGTTCCTTTGATTATACCGAGTAGTCCTCTGTAGTTTCCAACAACTAATAGGTTCATGGTAAAGCCTGAGTAATACTTTGAGTTGAAGTTTTTCATGTAAAAACATGGAGTGAAATACGCTGTGATAGGTTAAATATTCCCCATCATGTACTTCATCTTATGAGTTTAAGGTTAACACCCCAGCCCCCACCCCAATCTAAACACCTTTTAGATTGTGTTGCTGTAATCTGAAAGATTTTTTTCCCACATACAGCAGTGTTTGGACTGAACTGACAGAAGTGTCCACAGGCCCTGTGGAAGCACTAGTACCAGTAAAATGCTATGCATTTAGTTGTGCTCTCTGAGTTTCTTTTAGTCTTGAGCTAATTGTTTGTAAGGGGTAGGTTGGCAGCTGGCTTACCCTCATCTCTGCCACTATAGTATTTTCTTGAAGTCTGTAAAATACTATAAACCTTATAGATGTCTCATCAAAATCCTCATGATCAGGCTACTGACACTCCTGCCAGAGGTAACTGAAGCACATGTTACTTTACTCTTTGAATGCTGCTATGCACTAAGGGGGCATTAAGTGTTAGGTTTGTAGTTTCACATGCTGCTAGTTAAGCTAGACCAGCAGTTCTCAAGTGGGGGTTCAGAGTGGGCTCTGAGGAGGTGTGTGAGCCCTCAGGGTTCAGGTTCCCAAATGCCCAGGTGTGAGGGTCTGAATGCTGCAGCCAGAAACAGTGTTGAGACAAGTTACTGTAGAGGCTGGAGGTAGAGAAGGGACACCATAGCTCAGATGTTCTTTTAACTGATACCTCTTCTGCCATGTCTTTCCCTGTAGTGCATTCCCATTGGCCCACTGGAAGCTCCCAAGCACCTTTGTTTGTCCCCTGGCCGGTGTGAGCTGGGCTTGCAGGAGTCTGAGGAAGGAGCACAGGGCATTGCTCCATGAGGCCCCCTCAGAGCTCGGTGTAGGAGCAGCTGCTGCTGGCACGAGGGAGCCCAGAGCTGTGGGTCAGCAGAAGGAATGCCAACACTTGGCAGCTCTAGGAAAAATCTCCAGGGGCCCTGCTTTGTCCCTCTGGCAGGAGATTTTGTCTTGGATGCTGCAGACTTAGGCAGTGGGATTTTAGAGTCTCCCACCATCTTCCTTTTCACACTCTTTGTGGAACAAACACGTGTTTCCCCAGTTTCTGATGCTCTTGGGAGCTGCCTGAGCTCTGAGGCAGCAGCACCTTCTTGGCCTTTGCTTCTCCATCACCTGTGCACGGATGTTCATGGATGTATTTTGTACCTTCTGTGCCCTCCCTTTTGCAGCTCCACTCCCCTTGTGTACAGACCTGGATCCCTAAACTCTTGTGTAGGGAAAGAAGGGTACGTGTGCTGGTAGTTGTTGTGTATATTTGAATTAAATATGTGTACGTGTCTGCAAATAATGTATTTTGTATTTTATGCAAATTAATGCATTATATGTGATTGTGTAAGGAGGTATTCGGGAGGACTGTAAAGTATTCCTGCAAAAAGAGGAACTGACCTGAAGTTTGAGAACTGCTGCCCTAGATCAAAAGGAGTCAATGCACATACACTGGCTGAAAGGCAGGTTTGTGTATTATTATGTATAATATTTAACTGATGACTTTAAAGAGTAAATTGGGATTACAGAAAAATTACTTTGTTTCCACTAACAGACTTTCTATCCTTATCTTCTGGAGATCAACATTAGAATAATTGTTTTTAATTACAACTGTTTGAGCTTACTAATAGCAGATATTATCAATATTTTTATTAACCACTGAAGCTCCAAGTTAGGACAACCCATTGCTGTTACACATTGGTATGTGGTGAGAGCCCTTGTCCAAATGTCACCAAAGGCTTTAGAGAAGGAATTGATGCCTGGGTTTATTTTGGAGGGAAGTTGCTAAGCACTTTCTAATTTGTTTTTTCTGTCTTCGATTACTGTTGTAAAATAAACTTCTTAGTTGAAGGTCCAACATTTGGCAATGTTAATCTGAAAGATGTTCAAATGATGGAGACAGTGTGTTCCCATTTGTAGCATTTTTGTAAGATACACAGTGTAGCATATCTGTAACATATGTTCTAAAGGATATGTTCTGTTTTGATGAGCTAATTGAAGACTAAAGATATCTTAGATATTTATCCTTTGGCTTTTGTCTAAAAGTTTTATTATTTTTATACAGAAAGTTCACTGGCTAATTTTTAATCTGTCTTCTGATTGTACTGTTCTTAGGCAATGTAAAAAGTAGGGCTACGTAAGTGTGGTTTGATAATGGCTTAAGGCATATTAGAAAACGTGGACTTAGGAGTCTTATTTAGACCTGCAGTTAATCAGTGTTACATGCATGAGAATTTCATGGCTGTTTTAATTTTGCTTTATTAGGCAGCTTTCAGGGGAGCTCCTCCAGCTTGTGTTTGTCCAAGTCACTGCCAGGTGCCAGGAGCTCAGAGCAGACCCCAGAAAGGCACATCTGTTCCTGTTCTTCTGGTGCGTGACATTCCCTGTGGGTTTGGGAGAGCCACAGATAGTGAGTTGTGCTTTAAATATTCTTGAATGCAGCAGCTAAGAATGTGGGCCTTCTGCAGATTGGAAGTTTTTTCTCCCTCGCTTATTTTGGTATTTAACTGGAACTTAAAAGCAGACACAGCTGTACCAACCTGGTAGAACTGCACTCCTGTGGGAGTGTTTGCCAGCATAGCTGTGTCAATAAAATCAGATTTAAAAAAAAAAAAAGGCACACTTGTATGTGAAAATAGGCTGGAAAATTTCCAAGTGCAACTGAAGACTACTTCAGAAGCTTTTGAATATACTCAAAAAAGCAATGTAATACTTAGACTAATAGTCCTCCAGAACCATTTTACATACCAACCACTTGCTGCTGTTCAGACAGGTGAGGTTTTCCCAGGCTTATACTACCATTTCCCATGGCTTTTCCACACATTAGGCTGGACCCCCTTGCAAAAGAGGAAGTATTGCAGGTTTTAATTGACTGGTTTTTAGCACTTGCTCCCACTGGATGTATCTACAAGAAATCCTTTCAATTAGCTTTATTTCCTGGGGTTTTGCTTTCTATATTCAGACTTCTGCTGTTGTGGGCTACATCTCACCATAATCCCTGCAGTATTTCAATTCCTATGGGAAGAAATGCCGGATGTTGTGGGATCTTTGCTCAGAAGGGAGGTATTTTGCATGGCTTTTTCCCTTCCTTTTTCTTGAGTAGTCCCCATCCTGCCCTACTCCTGAATGCAAACTGCAGCATTAGCTCAGGGCAAACCCTTTTACAGGGCACTGGGCTGAATGTGGCTGTCAAGGTTTCATCCAGTAGAATTAGAATTATTACACCTGTGTCTGCTTCAGGGCTTATTTGGGGTTTTAAGGAAATACACAGGAACAATCAAAATGGGTGCTCAGCCTCCCCTGCTTCATCTGGCTCACAACACTGAGCTTTGCAGCAGGAGCAGGGAACTCTGGTGAGGAAGCTTGGCCACTTTGTCCTGGATCACCAGAGACTGTTTGAAGGGTTTTTAGACAGACAGTTTTGTAAATCCCTTCTTTACCCATTAATCCATCATATTTTTTCCAGAAATAAAGTTCTTGACGGAGGGTAAAACCTTTGCTAGATTTTTGTCCGTGAGATATCTTAAATGGAAGGTTTATGTCCTACAAACATCCATTTCCTCACTTCTTTCCTGTGAAAATATTTTTTTTTACCCCCTAACTTCTTTTTGGACAAATCACAGGTAGTAATCCAGCCTTTTGGATAGAAAGATGGAGTCTACCCTAAGTGCAGATGTGGCAGCAAGAGGAAAGGAATAGGATAAACCCAAGTATTTTGAGCAGGTCTGTGACAGCTGTAAGGAAACATTAGGAAAAGTGTGGGTTGAATGGAAGTTTCTCATGAGACTGGGCTGGGTGTAGTGTGTCACTGCCTGGCATGCCAGCTAAAACTTATGCCTATTCCAGGTGACTGTTCTCATTTTAATATCACAGTATCATTGCAGGAACTTCCAGCTCAACAGCTTAACAGATTTCTTACACACTGACAAATGTAGAGCTCTGAGGGATCAGAGAATTCGGTGACACCTGTTTTAGGAGTCCCGGTTTTGCAAATAATTAGACATCCACATAATTTATAACATGAGTAGTTCTGATTCTGTTGAGACTATTCAAGTTCATTCAAACTAAGCATGTATAAAAAAGCTTGCAGGGTTATTTTCTCACCAGTATTGCATAGAGATGTCCTGTTAGCATATATTTAGAAATATAGTTGTTATCATTAACCAAACTTCTACTCATCGATTGTTCCAGGCTGCAGATAATGACTCTGCAAAAGAATCAATCTAGGATACTTTTTTTAATGTTCAACTTAATTAGTTTGTTAGAGATGGAGACAAACTAACATTTCAGAGTATTTTGTTTTCAATACATTGTTTCTGTTCAATGCTGAGTGGAACAGGTATGAGCAGAGCTATAAATGAGTAATTTCAATGTAAGTTGCTCCTAGTGAATTAATTTTCAAGTCATTCTTGCTCAGTGGGCTGCAGTTTGAGACAGGAAATACTGTGAGGAGAAAGAAATTTAAACTCAATTAATGCTTAGCTCATTTAAGATAACCCTAAATTAGGTTAATTTTAAAAGAATTTGCCTTTAGTCTTGAGAATTTATTTAGACCTGATTGGTTCTATGTATTTACATCCCCTGGGTGGCTTTACAAATACCGACATTTAAAAAAGAGGTGGTGATTATGGGCCAGACAAGTGCCAGCTGTGTCCTGCTTTATCCCCTGGGTCTCGTGGTCAGCACTTTCACATGTGCTCAAGGCCCCACCTTAAGCTGTGTAGGTTTGTGTAACCTCAGCGTTAAAACCCACACACACCTGCTCATTCCCTTGAAGGTTGTGTGCAGTATTTACTGATCTCTTACAGTGATGTAGAAGGCAAAAAAGCAAAAGTTCAAAGTCGTGAATATGTTTTTCGTTGCAGTTATATAGGAAGCTCATATTCCAGCTTTTGTAGCTGTGGATCTAACTTTTCCAGAGCACTGTTCTGGGAGTCAGTGTTGTGAACAGATTTCAAGTTAAAAAATGTTAAATTTCCAGCATATATTCCTTCTAAATTATCCAAAATAACTCTGTACAGCAAGGAGCTACACAAAAGAGACTTAAAAAGATTTTTCCTCTTCAAATAATTATAACTTGAGCACAATTGTACATTCATAGAATATTGATCGTAAATAATGTTCAAGTGCAATACATAACACTTAAGGAGCATTCTAATTGTGTTTTAAAAGCACTGCATTGGTTCATAGGGTTGTTGAGAGGCTTGTAGTGTTGTTCCTAGTCCTAAATGAGGGTATGTGTGCTGATTATGGGATTAGGCTCCAAGCAGAGATGTAATCAATTCCTGAGGTGTATCTGCCCTGTGGATGAAGCCCAGGCAGCCTGTGGGAAGGCTCGTGTTGTCCTCCACTACCTTGTCAGGATATTCCCATCCTCTGGCAGCCTTTTGTGAAGTCATTTTTTGGAAAGAACAATAAGATATTCTGCACACTCAACTTCATTTTTAAGTAGTCTTTGTGTCACAGAGTGAGCAAACCAGTACTGATCAGGAAAGGTGTAAAGATGAAGGGTTTTATCATTGAGTGCCAAATACTCAGAGTTGAAAAGACACAGAATATCTCATTAAAATCAGTGTTGATTTGTAAGACATTCTTTATGTGAGGAAAGTACAGAAGTTTCTCATTAAGGGTTAACACTTCAGCTGCTCTTACCATTAATATCAAATAATCCTATAAGAATTAAAGGCTGTAAAGTGTGTGAAATGTGTAAGGCTGATGTGCAGAGGAGATGCAGCAGTGGTTGTCTGCAGTTCTTTTATTTCAGGTATTACCACCATCCTGGCATAGTTTCTGTCCTTCCTGGCAGTGAAACTGTCACCCTGTTCTAGAGAGGAACATGGTCCAGGGCTGCATGGCTGGATCCAGGGATCGGTGTTGGGACTGCCCAGAGGCACCAGGTGTAAAAGAAAATGCACAGAGGAAAAGCCATAATTGCTAGGAAGGCAATAAATAGGATGGAGATCACTGCACAACTGGTATCTCCCTCCATGAATAACAAGGATGGAAGTGGGCTTACAAAGAGAGTTACCATGAATATGTTTTAAAATACTTACTCAGGCTCAGCCACCCCGGTGGATGCTACGTGGAGAGCTGCAGTGCCACTGCTGCCACAACAGCCTAAAGGCTGATGCTCTTTGGCACTTTCCCCTAAAAGTATGGAAGAATAAATTTAACAGTAACAGCAATCCATTAATGTTTGTTTTGGCTGCATGTTGTGGATTCCCTGTGGAAAAAAAATAATAGAATTTTAAAAACTTCAAATGGCTTTAGGAGCACTGCAGCAGCTCTGGTAATTCTGCCATGTTGTGTGACCTTTAATTAGGGGTTGGGCAGCTGAACCACACTGATAAATAAAACACCTCAACAGCCTCACCCAGCTTGTTGCAGTTCCAGTTCTGTGTATGTTTGTGAATCAGAAGCATGAGACCATGCAAAACACACCTGAAATGGACTGGAAAATAACTTTGCCTTCATCTGGTGTTAAATTAATTTTAAATGAGGATTTTCCCCCTGCCTGCCTAGTCTGTAGGAATTAGTTATTTCATGATCTTCTGAAATGCCTGGTGCATTACTGTATTTGAGGTATTTGCTGGTTTTTAAATGGAATTAGGTTTTGTAAATATTTTGTCAGCCCCATTTCAGTGGGTGTCCAGTTTATATAAAACCTGAAGAAATGCTGTGTCAAAACCTTGTGTTTAGCCATGGTTTATCCTATAGCATCTCCTGCACTAACTGACAGCAATTGCAGTTTGAGAGAGCAGGGAGTGATTGCTTAAGGTTATTTTTCCAGTTAGCATTGTATGTGCTTTCCCACTTTTAACATGGAAGTAGGATTTCCTCCAAGTACGTTTTCCAGCAGAAAAAAATGAAATAATTTGTGGTGCCAAACACTTCAAAATATGTTGCTAAGTGTTGCCTCCTCTTATTGCACTAGTTTTAAAATTCAGTTTTTGATCACTTACTGTCCTTTTGATGGCCTTTTTAACAGATCTTCCCCCCAAACCACTTTCTACTCCTGAAAAATGCTTGTGTCCTTTTGATTACATCATGGAAACCTCAAAGGAATTTACCCCAGACTGTGGGTGAAAGAAGCACTATGTGGGGTGAAGTAATAAAAGAAAATAATCAGACTTTAATATGTTTCAGAAATGTAAGATTAATTTATGATTCAGATGTGATTGTGTATTCTTATGGAGTGAAATATTGGAATATTCTTTTATAAGAAAATTTAGCCCACATAGTGTTAAATTCTGCAGTTAAATCTATCTCTATAATTGATATATAATAATGTAAATTATAACCCAAAATTTAAATTTTACAGTGGAAGAGCACACAGTGAATTATGTAGAAGTATGATCTTCACTTTGTGAGTCATTTTTAAGAAGCACTTTCCTATTACCAACTAGCATGTGAATGAATTTTAGATTCTCTCATTTGTTATGATCTGTAGAAGTGAAACTTCTTTAATCTGTCTGTTAATGGGTAAATCCATCCTACAAATGCTGAAACAAAGCACCTTATACTATGCTGCTTAAACTTGCTTGTAATTGCACCTTTTGTTATCTGCAGAGTTTTCTTAATGAGTATTCTTGTGTGAAATCATTGTTCCCTGTGGGTCTGGGGGAATGATTAACCAACCTACAGCATCATTTAGTTTCTCTTCCAATACAACATTGTATTGTGAGTTCAGTGCTTCAGAAATAAATGCTACTTTCATTTGTCTGCTTTGGTTGCGTATCATTTATTTCTCTTCTACAAAATTAAACCAAGTCCTTTATAAAACTGTAAGAATTTGGAAATTAAGAGTATTTTTGCTCGAAGCCTGACTAATTCTTTCCCTACCATAGTCACCCTTCATATTTAACTATTTTAAAGTAATTTTGACTTCAAAATAAACTGTATTTTAATTTAAGCCATTCTTTAGCCTTGGGCATGTATTTATATGTAGCAATTAACCTTGTTGCTTAGATCTCTGACTGTAGTAATTTAATTTTTAATATGTACTTATACATTACAGGAGCAGCAGCAAAGAAACAGCGAAGCTTCAGCACCTCTCCTGTGGCTGTGGAAGTTGCACATCTTGCACTGTTTTTGTACCATGTAAAGTTTCTATTTCTGTAGGAGCTGTAGCTTTACATTAACTAAAAAAATTTATTTCTTGTTAGACAACAACCCTTAACTTCAATCAAGCTGACACAAAGCCAGACTTTACAAGAAAATACACTTCAAAAAAATCACAGAAGTTGTTTGAACTTAAGGTCAGCACCTGTATGTAGCTCCAGCCTTGAAGACTTTATTGCATTTTGTACTGTAAAACCTGAGATCATTCCATGTAAAGGAAATGTAAAATTCTGTCATAAACATGAGGTTTAACAGAAAACTTGGCTTATATAAGCAGTGGTCTTTTAAACACGTAATCTGAAGTTGAATCCCGTGAACTGACAGTGCTTGCAGTGCACTGGGACCAGTGTCCCACACTCCAGTGCAACATTCACTACAACACTGGACTTTTTTCCATGGATTGTAGCTCTGGAGCTGTTTCCTTGTGTTGTCTGTAAGGACCCAGCCACAGAACCTCAGCGCCCACACTTATTGCAGCCTTTCCAGCCAGCAGCTCATTAACAGATGACAATCACCACACCCGGCTCATCAGCTGCCTCTGTGTTTTCATTGTCAAACGGCACAAAGCAGAATTTCCAGCTGACAAACGGGTCTGAGCTCCACGTCCCCTCTGCCAGCTCGACCTCGTGGCACCGGCACCAGAACACGGCTGCCAGGAGGAAGCTGTTGATGAAGTACAGCCAGGGCACGTTCATGTCCACGTAGGCCGGAATCCACACTCCCAGGAACACAACCAGGACCTGGAGAACAACTAAAGGTGCCCAAGTGCCAAGAAAACAGATGAGGAGTCTGCTCAGGAGCTGCCACTTACAGCAGGTGGTGGCGTTGGACGTGTAGGAGAACATCAAAGCAGGCTGACTGGAGATGGAGACGAACCTGGCAGACAGCAGGGTGGTCACCACCTCCTTCCAGCGAGCCAGGAGAGCAGTGCCCAGGAGCAGCACCATGGCACACGAGACTGAGTAGCTCTGCAGGCTGGCAGAGACAGGGCACTGGTAAGGAGAGACACTCTTCTGAATTTCCAGCTCTTCATAGACAGCGGGAACTTTCAGAATACAAAAAAACCCTGAAATCCATATAACCACCACAGCGAACACGTACAGTAATTTCTGGCCTCTTTTAGAGAACTGGGATGTCTGGGAGACAGTTGTGTAATAGTCCAGAGCAGCCATGAGGTACACGGGGTAGTGCAGAATCCCACAGGTGAGAGATGTGATCTGGGTGAGGAGGCAGATGTGGTACTTGGTGAACCGCATCCCCCAGAGCGCAAAGTCCTCAAAATAGAAAATGAAACAGAAGATCAGCAGCAGCGTGAGATCAAGAAGTGCCACTGAAATGCAAAAGTATCCCATAAAACTGGCTTTCACGTTTTTTGGCTTAACTTGCAACATGAAGAAATCAAGGAAGACTTTTCCGAGCATGATCAGGAGCAACACGCAGCTGGTTTCAAGAGTTTGGTTGCCGTGGGTGCAGTGGTACTGACCAGAACCATTTTCACAGAGTCTTGCAGCCATCCTCCAGTGGTGAAAACAGCAAAGACAAGTGTCACAGGGCACAGTGCTTCATCTCTGAAAAGGAAAAAGTTAAAAAAAATTTATTTCTTGGTACCTCTACCAGTTAGTTAATTCTCCATCATAGCAAGTACCCAATTTACTCTGAGTTTTCCAGGCTCCTTAATTAAGAGTAAATAACTTCACTAACACATCATTAAATTGCCAACAAGTGTTTAAATTTTATGTTCTTCAAATTACGTTTTTGAGAGTTACAAGGTCAACACTCAAAGTTACAAAGACATAAGTTACTTTTCTAGTTGCTGTGCCAAGGAAAGGTTTAGGAAATAAGGGTGACTGTGCTCCTTTCCTTTAGAAAGCAAAGAGATCTTTCTGCGCATCTGGGCCAAGGGATGGAGGTTCAGAGCTCCTACACATTTTGAAGAAATTAGACAATTACAGAAACTGTACACGAGATATCGCAGTGTGGCCTCACAGTTCATGATGCTCATAGAACCTGTGAGAAACTGAGACTGCTGAAGTGTCCTGAAAGCAGAAAAAGCATCAGTGCAGCCTATCCTTTTCCAAAGTCCTGGAACTCTGAGGCAATCCAAAACACACAGGCTTCATTAGTGACTGGGCTTTTTGGTTCACCTTTAAGCAATGTGAGTGCTACAATGACAGACACCTCAGAAGAGCTGGTTTTCCCTTCAGACTTCCATAGGTTTCCTTATGATAACTCTTTTCTTTGTGTTAATTCCTAAGGAAAATGAACACAGGATGGCTTCATGTAGATCAGCAAGACAAATTAGACAAAGCTTTCCATGCTTTCTTCTCTTTCCTTGAAGAAGCAGGATGGCATCAGTGATCTCAGCGAGAGCAGAGAAGAGCCGAAGTAAAGAGGAGTTGCCTCTCTAGGCTCTCTGTTCTGGATTTAAACAGACACCTGTGTTTTCTCACCCACTTGCCAGTCATTGAACACTGGAGTTAGTGCACGTTTGAGTTCGGGTGTCCTGAAAAGCAGAGTTGGAGCAGCTAGAAGTCCTTGGCAGCACAGCTTGAGAAGTATCAACAGATACACAGATACGTGTTTACAAGCCTACCTGGGCTCAGCGCTTCACCCTTTATCGGCTCAAGTACATCCTCTAGCACCTGATACGTCTCACAAGAACGACTTAATTCCGTCCATGTTTCGTCTTCACGTACTGGACGCTGCGCTCCTGTCCGCGGAAAAGGAAACCTGCACGGGAACAGGGTCCCGCTCGGTAAGTGTATAATAATAATAACAATAACTTATATATTGTAACGCAGAATCACCATCCAGGCTGTGCGGACCCGGCTGCGGGCACAACCCGCACCCTGCGCACGGAGGGACCGGCGCTGCCCGCGTCTCCTCCCGGGCGCTGCCCCCGGCCCTCCCGGCGGGATCCTGCTGCTCTCCGCAGGGACAGGGAGGGAGGGAGGCGGCCGGGGGGCTCCGAGGGGCTGCTCCTGCTCCCCACGCCCGGCCCCGGCACCCACCTGCGGCCGCCGCTCCTGCCCCGCGCCATCGCCTCCTCCCCGGCGGGGACCGGGCGGGACGGGGCGGGACGGGGCGGGATCGTGTCCAGGGAAACGTAACACAACACACATCACACATCTAACAGATAACATACAGCACAACACAACTGCCCTGAGGAACAGGTTCCGTGCGTTGTGTCTGATCCCCCGGCCGAGGGAGACGAAGCGCCCCGGGTACCTCAGCGCCATAGGGCTCCCAGATCCTTATGGATGTGGCAGAGAAACGCTTTGAGTTCTAAACGTGTTATGTGCGTGTGGGGGGAAAGGCGATGGCGGGAGGTGAGGGCGCTTCAGCGGGAGCCCTCCGAACCCTCGGGACTTGGCCGCATGGCAGGGAGCACAGGATGCTCCCTTTGGGAAGCCCTGAGTCCACACAGTGGGTGTTGTTTGATGTATCCAAGTGTACGAAAGTGTCAAGTGGCTGGGAGGACTTTCTCTGAAAGCAACTAACTCTCTGGAATTAAATTCAGATATAAGTAAAGATTTTTTTCCCTCTTTTTATTTTCCCTTTCTCCTTCCATGGTTCATCTGAAGGATTAAATAACTTCACAGGGAGAAAAAAAAGTGATCAGTACTGTGAAAAACGTGAGAGCTTCAAGTAATCTCCAGCAGCATTCACACTGGCAATAGTTACTTGTCCAAACCATTTTTCCCAGGATTGTTGCACAAATTGGAGTATAATAAGAAGCTGTTTACACCTGAAAGGGTATTGCACCTTCCGAACACTCAGTCCACCCACAAGTATCTGAAGGCTGATGCCTTCAAGAGTAGTTTTCTTCTTCTTAGTTCTAACCCAAGGCAAAGCAGTGAAAGTGATTTTCCCAGTGGGAGCTAATGAACCGTTTGGATGCTTCTGTTGGATGTTTTGGTTTGTCTGTGTTCGTGTCTGTCTTTATGACAGCAGAAAATACTGTACTGGCCTGTGTGGGGAGATGCTTGGATGGTGGAAATGAGCAACCAGGAGGGGACAGGGACAGTTTAGATATATTTTTCTGCTGATAAAAATCCCAGTGGGTGTGTGATGTCCAGACTATGTCAGATCCATGCCTAGTGACCCTGTTGAGCAGGGTCCTCAACGTGGCCCATGTTACATCCCAGTTTCGTGTTGTGGCTACTTCTCAGCTTCCCTTTCCCTCCACCACCTTTTTCAGCTGGTTTGAAAGTTTGCTTATTACTCACAGGTTACCCCGTTTTCTGCTCCTGGATACTGCGTCTCATCTTCCATCCCAGAGAAATGATGGTGCAAGATGGGATGCCCTGGAAACCAAATGCAGAGCTTGGCATTTGCAGGTTCTTCTCCCCGTGCCAGAAAAGCTGCTCACACTCAGTACTGGACAAGGGCTGGATCTTCCTTTGCGGGAAAACTTGCAGGTACTTGACAAACATCATATTCTGAAAATAATGGCTTGAGCCCATCCTGCCCGATTAAAGAGGCTGCATTTGTATCCACGGGCAGCAATAGAAGGGTTTAAGAAACCAGTTTATATTTGCATGCAGGCAGCTGTGTGTGAAAACAGAGTCCTCCTCCAGGATGAGGCACGTGAAATAATG